AATACGGGACAGCAAGTTGACTGCCCAAGCATGATTTCCTAAGCAATCATCTTGAATCCACCAGAATGACTACGTGGATGACTTAATTATTAAGGAGGTTTGACAGATTTGGTTAATTTAGTTGACCCAATTGCGATGGACTATGGTGGACTTCATACGAGCGGCAAAGTTGGGCGGGTAATATTGATCCAAGTGTGAGTAAACTCACGATGTGAAGCGTGGCATTCGTAGCTAAATAAGGTAGAGCGTTGGCTTGCCTAGAAGGTCTTCCCTCCTATTCGGGTACGAATCCCGCCGAATACCGCGAGTCTTTTCAATTGACATAATTATCTAAACGTTGGCGGTCTTCGTGGGATTAAAACCCACGCCAGTAAGGGGAAGACTTTACTGCAGCTAATGCTCTAGCCAACTGAGTTATTGACGCCCCAGGGCAGTTATGAATTTAAGCACACTACCCAGCCTACTGCAAAGTATAGAATCCAACTATACAGTAAGCTGATGGACCGCGATTAAATTCACCACTGCGGGAGGGGGGGGGGCTCGATGGCCGATTAAGCTGGCAGGGTTCAAGTGCCGACGAGGCCGTCGTCATTTTCACAAATGGGTCAATTGAATGTCTTTTTAGTCTTGGACACATGTTTGAGGTTAAAAGAATGTATGCAGTTTGCATATAGTTTTATTTAACCAATGAAAAAGACGTAGCGGCCGAAGCTATTGAGGTTGGCACGTACACACACAAATGAATAGTTCGGCTTCATACTTCTCCAGTTATGTTACACCGAACGGAGAAGTTATTTACCTCAAAACACACACACTTATATAGTTGAAGAAGAATGCCGACTTAGCAACGTATAAGAGCTGTTTAGGTAAAAAATTGGACATGAAGTAAAAGGCATGGGGTGGCGATACAGTGTACTGTACGAACGATCCCAGTTGGAGGGAGGGGTGATCGCGAAATATCGGTTAGATAGCGGTGGAGAGTGCAGCACTGTGGGCAACTGCGAGAGATTGCCATGGAGGTGCTAACGGTAGAGA